ACTGATTAAATTTTGCATTCCGAACAAAACCAACAAGTCAGAATAAGTGGATATGGACCATACAAAGCCTGGAATCATATATGCCAGTTCATGTAAAGTTAAAAAAGATTCAGTGCCTAGTTTCATACTAGCGGCTTTTACACTACTAATGTACTTAAACTGTCTTGAATTTCTTGGTTGAAATTGGACCTGGCTATCATTGTGATCAAGAAGAAGGTCTTTGTAACTGTGGGAATCAGCAATAGCATCTAGTACAGAAGAAGCTGTTGGTAAGAACTTGATTTGTTTTCTGGAATTACCTGAAATAGATAAACATATGCACACACTTATATATGAATATATGTGTGTGTATGTGTATACACTGGCGTATTAAGGTCATAAAAACTGGGGGAGGGAGGTGGAACAAGGCAAAGTTTAGAATGGAGGAGGCTACACAACATGAATTTTAGTTAAAAATATTATTATTTAAAATTTTTATTTAAAGTAGGTTTTATTTAGTAGTAAACTTACGTAAAACTTTTAAAATAAAAACAAAAATCATTATCAAAATGTAAGATATATTTACCATGAGGAACTAAAATTGCAAGGTTGTGGTTGGTTTACCAATGTAATGGATAACAACAAGATCTGTCCAACTCAGATCACAGTACACAAACTTCTGGAAATGATTTGAAATTCCTGTGGGTGTAACAGTGGAGAAATGGATCTTTGTGTAAAGTGGCAAACCCCAAGGAATTTTACTACACCCATTTTGCTTCCACCTATACTAATCTGCCTGCCAATTGTCTAAAAATAACACACACACATATATATATATAAAATATTTATATATATCAAGTCTTACCAGGAAAGGCGTGCGGTTTTTTGCCTTGTATGACCATGCGTGAGTATTTTATTTTAGACCATAGCCGTTTGCAATTTTTTTTATATGCGTTGCTGACAAAAGTTTTAAAAACAAAATAACAAAATAAGAATTTAAAATAAACTTAAATAGAAAATAATAACAATAATTTGTGCATTGTTTTTATTTTTGTTTTTTCATAATGGTTATTATTTTCAGCAACAAGTCAGAGCAAAAAAAAAAAAAAAGTTTTAAACATTAAAAAGAATGATTTTCCTATATTTTGTTTTTTTTTTAAGGGGAAAGCGAAAATATAAATTGTCATCTGTTTGTAAAATATATTTGTTTAATTTTAATGTAACAAGTATATATCAAGGGGTGAATCTAGCGTTGCGATTTGCAAACCCTGGAAAAATATCTGATCTTCAAAATTTTAGTTTATGCAAAGCTGTGTACTTTGTTTTCAAGGAGAAAATTATTATAAGTTTGTTAGCAAGAAAAATATAAAAACAAAACAAACTATAAAATTACGACTACAAAAGTAATAATACTCTCGTCGATAACTGCATTATAAAAGTAATAAAACTATAATAGTGTTATTACTTTTATAAAGCACTTATTAATTTCAAAGTTAATTCTTTCTCATGTCTTATATTGCAATATATTGCAATATAATATTTTTATTATGCCAATATTGGCATAACATAAATAAGATATTAATATCTTATTTATATTATGCCAATTTCGGCATAATATAAAAAAGACGTAAGCATGTAAGTTTGCTATATATTACATTATACTATTTTAGTATACAAATATATTTTTCGAAGGAAATTGCCACCGAATTTAACAAGTTTTTTTCAACAATAGGACAAAGTCTATCAAATAAAATTCCTTACGTAGACAATAACTCCGTTGATGAATTTATTTTATTAACAAATTCAACTCTGAACTTTTTAAATCTAACATTTAGTGAATTTAAAATAGCATATAAAGCAATAAAGCAACTGAGCTTGATGATATAAATGGGAACATTATAATCGACTTTTTTGATGCGATTAAGATATCCTCTTTAAAATTTTTAAAGCATCTATTACTCAAGGATCTTTTCCAGATAGCTTAAAAATAGCAAAAATAACTCCAATTTTTAAAACAGGCGACCCTACAAACGTAACAAATTATAGTCCTATCTCAGTTCTACCAGTCTTTTCAAAAATATTAGAAAGAATAATGTACAACAGATTGTACACTTATCTTATTGACAATAAACTTCTTTATAAAAATCAGTTTGGTTTTCAAAGAAAAAGTTCTACTGAACTTGGAGAATAGCGTGTTCTACTGAACACGCTATTCTCCAAGTAACGCGCAGTATTGCCGACTCTTTTAAGAATTCTTAATTTACTCTTGGCATATTTATTGATTTGTAAAAAGCTTTTGACACTGTTAATCACCATATTTTATTGAAAAAGCTAGAAAGCTATGGTATAAGAGATGTAACCCTAAACTGGTTTAAAAGTTATCTAAGTAACCGTAAAAAATTTGTTTATAACAAAGAATCTTCGCCTCAATTTTTAACGAATGTAACATGTGGTGTTCCCCAAGGATCCATACTTGGGCCACTCTTATTTTTAATATACATAAATGATCTTTACAAAGCTTCTAATTTAGCGACTATAATTTTTGCTGACGATGCGAGTTTATTTCAGTCCAACGAAGACATTAAAATACTCTTTAACAATATGACTGAGGAACTTAAAAATACTTCATATTGGTTCAAAAAAAATAGGTTGTATACCGATAAAACAAAATGGATACTTTTTCATCCAACTTCTAAAAAAAAGAAAATTCAAAATATCTTGCCTGATTTATATATATAAGTACTGTCAATATATATTGACAGTACAGTAATAAAAAGAGAAAAAAATACAAAATTCTTAGGAGTTATAATAGATGAAAACTTATCTTGGAGGCAACAAATTGATAATATTTCAATGAAAATTGCTAAAAGTATTAGAGTTCTATATAAAGTTTGACATATATTAAATAAACATCAATTAACACAACTATATTATTCATTTATTGATTGCCATTTAAATTATGCAAATATGATATGGGGAAGCGCTCACAAAACCAAACTTAAATCTCTCTATCGACATCAGAAACACGCAGCTCGCACAATTAATTTTGCAAATCGTTTTTCAAGTTCAACACCACTTCTTAAAGAAATGAAAGTTTTGAATATTTACGAACTAAATGTTTTGAATATTTTATGTTTAAATGTAAAGAAAATATATCACCTAATGTATTTATAAATTTTTATAATTTGAAACCTAAAAACAAATATAATTTTCGTGCTAGTAAAAGTATCGAAGAGCCATTTTGCCAAACTAAATTTGACCAGTTTTGTATTTCTTATCGTGGTCCTTCTCTTTGGAATAAAATAATTTTACCTAATTTCGATTTTTCTTTTAAATGGTCTTATTCTTCTTTTAAACGGAAAGTAAAAGAAATTATCTTTTCAACACAAAATATTTATGTCTATTTTTAGTATTTAAGTTGTTTTTTTTATTTATTTTGATTTATACTTTATTTTGTTTATTTTATAGACTGTGAAGAATATTAGAATATTGTATTCTTTTTGTTATATAGATTGTAGATTTTTTTTTTTAATTTTACTTCACCTCCTCAAGGCCGAGAAGGCCACTACAGACGAGGAGGCTACTTATTTTGTGGCTATAACCCTCTCTCAACTCTATAACTCCGAAACACGAACCTTGACGAACAAGGCCGCTGCGCGGAGAAACGAGTTGAGCGCGGTACTACCAGGGACGTGGTGGGGATCGAACTCGGAACCACTCGTTTATGAAGCGAGCGCTCTACCACTACACCACTACCGCAATGATTGTAAAGGGCTTCATGATAAGATCCTTTGATCTTCTAGAAGTCCTGCCGGTAATATATTCAATGTAAAATTTACTTTGTACATATTCTGGCAAATAAAAAAATATATATATTTACAAAATACAAATACTATAAAAGTGTACTGAAATATTGCTACCTAACCTTTTCCATGATTCACTTGTATAACATAAACTTCGCCTGCCTTAGGATTGTTGAGAGTAGTTGGTCTATCTTCGTTATTGCTCTTAGCGATAAGATTTGCAACAACCTCTATTTTAAGATGATTTAAGCAACCTGTCGAAACTGGAACAGTCATTTCTTCTAAAATTTAACATCATGTTTGCTGGTATTGCGGTTTATCCTCCTCCGGCTAATTAATTGCCATATAGAGGCCACATTACCACGTCCCGCAAAGCCAAGCCCGGCTAGCTAAGGAGCGTCATAACCTGCTCTACGGACCGAGGGTAAGGTGATTTGGGAAGAACGAAGATGTGTTAGAGTGAAAGGCAGAAGTAGTCGAGTTAGAAAGATAGCATAGAGAAAGCGCACATAATGCAAAACGTACAGTTAGCTAGGTTGACCCAAGTAAAGTACGCCGACAAAGATTTGATTGGAGCTCACTTACATGAACTCTTTCTCAACTTTCTTTGTCGTACAATGTGTTTGCTTAGGTTAAATTCGTTTGCAGAAATCCAACTATTTAGAGTGTTACTTAAATGATCCGTCCCGCTGATCCGCCCCGCCATTGTACCTACTCTAATCGCAAATGCAATATGCAATTATCGCAGAGTATTAATAGTTCTTCGCAAATGTAAAGAGTATTAATAGTTGTTGCAAATGTATTCTCTAAACAAACATAATTTCATAACAAAGCTCTTTGAAAAAACATAAAAATAAATACTCCAATGCGTTATTTTTTCAAACATAATGATTACTTTAGTATTTAAATGCAATATCATTTTAATGTCATTTTAGAAAATTAACTATTTGTATTTGATTACTTGTCTAACGCGGTTTTTCTCCTTGTTTTTAAAAACACAAAAATACACAATTTTCAATAAGACAAAAAAAGTAACATTTGTAAATGATATTTAATTTAAGTAATTGACAAAATACACTCACAATATTAATCAATTGCATTCAACATATGAGATGTTTTGAGTTATAAATATTTATAATAGAGCATAGTGCCATTTATAATAATTTAAAAAATAATTATCTTTATTTAAAGTTTATCTTTATATAATGTTCTTTATTTAGAGATGTAAAATTTTTATATTTAGATTAAAGGTATGAAGTGTAATCGGTTTACGTATCAAGTTTTTACTAAGTTGTTTATTAAAAAAGATATAAAAACAAGACAATTATCTTCAAAATTGTCTGGGTATGTTGTGCAACCAACAACAATGAAAATCTCCAAATTTGATGCAAAAAATGAAAATAGTGAAGATATTCCTCTGTTTATAACGAAGTACAATACAAAAGGCTTTACAATACAGGGCAATAAAGTGTTTGGATCAGTTGCTATTTTACCAAAATGCTATTTATCTTGGAAAGTCAAGTCTTCTTGTGATATTAATGTTGAGAGTTTACAATTATTTACAGTTATAGAACCAAAAATTGAAATTCTTGTTATTGGAACAGGTGAAAAGGTTTTTCAACTTCCAAAAGAAGTTCAAATGTATTTTAAAAAATTTAACATTTCGTATGAGGTATCAGATACACCTAATGCTTGTGCTACATATAATTTTTTGTTGGAAGAAGGGCGATTAACTGGAGCAGTTTTAATTCCACCAGAACATATACCAATAATCTAAGATTTGTAAATTTTTGATAATTATAATTTTTCAAATTAGGTTTTCTGCTTGACTATTTAAAAAAATGCCTAACTTAATAAACTTAAATAAGTTTTCTGCTTGATTATTTTTAAAAAATACTTATTCTTATTTATATATGTATATATATATATATATATATATATATATATATATATATATATATATATATATATATATATATATATATATATATATATATATATATATATATATATGTATATATATATTTAAAAATTAAAATGTATGCATATATATTACTCTAACGTTTTAATTCCCTACTCCTTTAACTTTTTAAGTCTCAATTTAAAAAGTTAAAGGAGTTGGGAATTAAATCCGAATCCTCAGTTGTTGTATGTACTGAAGTAATATGCACTGAATGCAACATATTAATAGATGCATGCACACATACTTATACATCCCTCAGAATTAGGAGAAATGAGGTTGACAGTTTAATGCAGACCTTTAACTGTTATTGGTCGGCATTAAATTGGCCAAAATAATTCATTACAAAAGTTTTACCTAAAAAACATAGAAACAAGGTTGGCAAATTTTTTAGGTTAGTTACAAACAGTTAGGTTGGCATTGTCGAATGCTGACCCTAATTCTGAGGGCTGCTTATATTTATTTAATGTATGTATTAAATGACAATTTGAATATTAATTTTTATACTTGTTTAAAAATAGAAAAACATATTTGAAAAAAAATAAAGTTTTAAAGATGCTCTCATATGATGTTGTGCATCCTATCTGTTGTACTCAGAAGATTGCAGTGTATGAAACAAAATCTGTAGGTTTTATTAAGTTTTTTTGTTAAAATTATAATTTAAATTTTTGTAAATAACATGTATAAGCCACACTTGTATATATATAAAAGTATATACATATATATACAGAGCTCAGCAGAGGGAAGTCTCTTGTAGAGTCTTTAATTAAATCAAGTATATAAACAACTTTGAAAGTCTAGCAAAACCCCCGCTCAAAAGAGCAAAATGATATCTTACTTATCTTTTTTAAATAAGTTTTGCATTGCATAATTTATGGACAATCCTTTATTAAAATTATATTGCTGTATATTAAAAAATAATTGCTTTGATTAAACTTTATTTTAACTGTGCAAATTTAACCATGCAAATTTAACCATGCAAATGCAGTCGTTTATTTAGAATTTAATTTTAAGTAAAAATGTTTTGTCTAGCGCAATGGTACCATTGCTTTAATTTTTTATTTATACAGCACATTGTAATTTTGCGTTACTATTAATTCTCTGGATTGAGAAGCGATTCATTAATCAAAACTGATATATAAATCAAAATATTAGTTTTAAAACTATTAAAAAATCAATCAATAAAACTTTTAAGAAAGGTAAAAAATTGCTTTAAAATAATTTTTTGAGCTTTTATGGCTGCCCAAATGTTAATGACGTTCTTGTAACTCACCTTTTTAGTCGAATCTTCTTTAATCAAAATAATCAAATACCAGTAACATGATCCTGGTCGAATGGAGATTTTGTCAGAAGTTGATTTTTTACAACTTTCAGTTTACAAAACAATCGTTCTCCCTCAGCAACTGACTTAAAAATGGTGTTGAAAATTCGAGGCATGATGCAAATATATGAAAAAAAGCGTTCAAGCTTCTTCTAAAAGATTAGATCAAGAAACTGCATTAGATTGCTTGCTTGAAAATTGTTTTGCCGGCACTGGTAAAATGGCAAACTTCTTCTTTTTGCTTACATCTCTCGGATGAAACCGTGTGCTTTATTTTAAACGGAAAGATTGTTTTTATTCAACCCGAAGAATAAAAATATTGCCAACCATCCTACTTGTTTCAAATCCTGAATCAATCTGCTGGATAAGATCATCTAAACCAACATTGAAAATGTTCACTTTAAATTCTTTTGTTTGGCTTTCATGGAAATGGACTGTGTTTGATACCTCATCATGAAAGCGCTTTAGTTCACGCTTTCTTTTAGGAGGGAGTTCAATTTCGAATCCTAGCGGTCAACTACAGCTGCATCCAAGAGCCCTAATCCGTTTAAGACAAACATCGTTAACAGTAGTAAGAGTTTTGTACCGAATTGTATAGAGCAATACAAATTCAAAAGGTGATAATCATTTTTTTAAATCTCTTGTTTGGCTGAGCTGCTCACTGGTCAGATCCAGAATTTTCATGATTTGTTTAAAAGCTGCCAACATTTCTCTCGGCCTCTTGGCAAGTGGTTTGATCAAGTTGGTATGAGATCTCCATTTTGTCAGAGAAAATCTATGCAGTGAAATTTCAGTTGCCTTAGTGAGAATCTTCCATCAGTTTGACTTGGACTAAAAAATACGCTTCAAGATTCAACATTTTTGAAGAATACTTTGATCTCAATGGGTGATTCAACTGCGAGCACACCAGCCAAAATCAGACTGTGAGCGCTACAGGTAACATACAGAGCTTCTGAATAATTTAGCTTTATCAAGTCCTGATCTCCCTTGTAAGCACCTGACCTACTGGATCCTTTATCGTGTCCCTGACCACAACATTTTTGAATATCCATACATAGCCTTAAAATCACATTAGTGATAAGCTTAGCTATATCTAATCCTTTCTTCGTCTCAAAAGTTTCAACACATCGTTCTTTAATTTTGCAGCAAGTAATTTCTTTTTCATAGAGGAGAAAATGAATGACAAAGGTTATCTGCTCAGTATAAGATATATTAGGGGTACCATCAACTATGGTTGTGAAGTAGATACCATCCTGAATTTCTTCGACAGCTGCACTTTGGATAACACCATATTCTTTGGTGAACTTGTTTTGGAACGATGGAAAGAAATAATGGGCACTCATTGTAGAGCCTTCTTGTTGATGTTGTCATTATAAAGTTTTCTCAATATCAATTTTAATTATTTGTATAATAATGTCCATAATTTTCAAAAATATATAAATTACCGTTTTCCCCTTCTGACAACATAAAGTTTGTAATATAATACTATAAATTAAAATAAAAATGAACAAAATTACAATAGAAGAGTTCTTAAACTTAAAAAGTAAAACATGTTAAATAATTCACTAAATTTAAACATACAGTAATTTTTTTATCAACAACCAACAAATAATTGCAAATTTTGACTAGTTCAATATTTATGTTGCTAAAAAGTGTAAAAATGTTATAATGAGAAAGTAATAAGTTAAAATCATCACCAAACATAACTGTCATTAGGTTAGAAGCTTTTGGTAGATCATTAATATATATTAGAAATAGGAGAGGTCCTAATATGAATCCTTGAGGAATTCCACATGAAATATTTAACTAACTAGATGATATTTTATCATCTGCATAAACAAATTGTTTTCAGTTATTTAAGTAACTTTTTAGCCAAATTAATATATTTCCATTAATTCCGTACCATTTCAACTTTTATTAAAAGAATTACGTGATCAATAGTATCTAAAGCTTTTGTTAAGTCAATGAAAACACCTAAAGTAAATTCCCTAAAGTTAAATTTCTTAGAAGCCAGGAAAACAGTCACATTTAAAATTTCACGAAAAATTGTCAGCCATTTAGCTGTCTCAGAATTTATTCACTTATGGAGCTCTAAATATTTGCTAGTGGAGCTGGTAAGACGAATGTAGGCCTCTTTCCAATCATTGTAGAATCTTTAGTGTAATGGGCTGCATTGATGCTGCTTCACACGACTTGAGTTTCCTCCGTTGATCTCTAGCTCCTTAGTTTCAATGAAGAAGGGACAATTAGCCACTTTTGAATACTACTTTTGTGCTGGAGATCTCTTTAAAATAATTGCATATTGATCTTTTTGACTCAAAACAACTGCCCACAAAGAAGGGTTAGCATTAATTATTACCAAGTTAAGTTGAACCTTGCATTCTCCTCTGTTAGAGAATGTAAACAAGTTCCTTTTTCCGACTCTAATGATTCACTTTGAAATTCATTAAGCTCAGCTTGAGTGAAATTGTTTAAGCCCCCACTGATCCACAGTCCTTTGAATAACATATTGAGTGCAGCCAAGTTGCAAAAACTCAAATATTTGATAACTGGCCGGGTCCTGGTAGAGTCAAGGCCGCTTATTTGTCTGAAAAATGCAATGCTATGATTCTCTCTTTTGCCTCAACAGTCAAATACTACTTTAAAAAAAACAGCGCTTTTATTGTTAAATCAACCACTGTCTCGTTCACTTCAACTTTTTCAACAACCGTATAGTTAAAGAAGTTGAAGCGAACCCATGTAACATACTACTTATTGAGGTTTTCAGTGCTATCTGTGTCAACTCCTTCAAAGCAAAATATGATGAGTTACCATTATTATTACCACAGCACATAATCTTCCTTACAATCGAACACGAGCTAGCATTGCTATATGTTCATGGGCTTTCGGAACACGCCCGCCTATGTCTAATTCTACAACAGCTAAATCCTATTTCTTTTGTAAAAATTAGTTTATTAATAATTATAAGAATAGAATTTAAAACTTAAATTATTTTTTTCATGTGCAATTTTATTCTAAATACTAAAGTTTCAATCTCAAATGCAAAAACTAAGCAGATTTAAGATTGTCAGTAATTAAAATGTTTTCTATTTGTTCTATTAAAAAAAAAAACGTATTGTCCGGCGCCCCTTCAAGCTTGGCGCCCGGATCAATTTGCCCCCTTTGCCCTTCCCTCTCAAAGGCCCTGTATATATATATAGGGGAAGATGGGGGAACATTTGACCATGGGGAACATTTGACCTTTTCAAATATTTCCCAGCATGATTAAAATTACCACTTAAAATTTATATGCTTATTTTGTCTGTAAATAAGTTATCTGTAAATAAGTTATCGCGGGAAATAAGTATTGATCCATCTTTATTAGTATTAGTACTTATTTAGGAGAAATTCTAATTTTTGCTATAAAGGGTAATTTTTTTATGTTTTAACACGTTCGCTGCCAAACCTGTTTTAGCAAGACGTTATTACACTGCCAAGCAGTAAATTATGCAACATTAAATTTCTGCCGAGGCTGTTTGTGTGGTTTTGTTCTCACTGCCAAGGCTAGATATCAACATTTCAATAAATAATATTTTTTCTATCAAGCATAATTTAAAAGCCTTTTTTTATTCTGAATATAAAAAAGGAAAAAAAATCACTACGAGTAAACTCGTACTTTGGCAATGGAGAAGAAATTTTTTTCGCCAGTGCCAAAGTATGAGTATACTCGTAAACGTTTTGTAACAGCAATTGTTGCAGTGCAGGGACATCTCATATTCAGGCAATACATTAAAAACAAAAAGCATAAGTATGGGGTCAAATTGTATGAACTTTGCGAATCTGATGGTGTTGTAATGAAAGTAAAAATCTATTTGGGAGAGGCAACTCCCGATGAGCACTTGTTGGGTCAAACGGGAGCTATTGTTTTAGAGTTAATAGAGAATTTTCTAGGAAAAGGATATCACTTGTAGACTGAAAACTTCTATAATTCCTTTGAATTATCAAAACATATGTTAACAGAAAAAATATACATATGTGGTACATTAAGAGGTGATCATTAATCGAATCTAAAAGATTGTACAACAGCTAAGTTAAAAAAGGGAGACGTCGTGAGCAGAAGCAGGGAAGGTGTAATTGTGACTAAATGGAAAGATAGAAGAGATGTTCTAATGATTAGCAACATGCATTCATTAGAGATGGTTAAAGTGACGAACAGAAGAGGTGTAAAGAAACTTAAGCCCAATATAATTCAAGATTATAATAAAGGCATGTCAGGAGTTGATCGAGCTGATCAAATGGTATCTTATTATGACTGTCTACGAAA